CCCTCTGGGGGCTGAGCGGGGCAGCCAGCTTGCTGAGGCTGCGCCCCGTCGCCGCGCGCTTTCAGAAGGCAGGACGGCTTTCCCTGCTCCAGTCCTCTCTGTTGCTGTTCTTTCTCCGTATCCTTACGCCTTGTTCTCCTGGAGCGTGTCAGGCGGCCTGCTGGGAATTTGGTGCGGTGTTGCTCCCTCTTTTCTCGCTTTCTCAGAAGTACATAGACAAAGTTTGCCGTGCGTCATCCTAATGAATCATTTTCTGCTCTGTAGGTGGGTTCTGGTTTTGTGCTGAAAGCAATCAGTCCTATCGACCGATAACGAGATACCCTGCAGCAAAATTCTGGTGAACTGATGCAGCGACTTCCTTTGCTGGCCTGTTTATTAATGGAGTTGAACTGTGTCACAGGGCAGAGCTTTGACCTCTGGCAAGGGTTACATCAGATAATAAGCTGAGATGTCTGTTCTCTGCTAAAGGAGCAGATGCCAACACTTTCTGAGATAAATAACAGAACGATGCACTCCCTTTTCTGCTTTTTCTAGACCACTTTTTTTATTTAGAGATGGAGGGAAGAAGAGCCTGGCCTTTGACCTATTTTCAGCTTGACCCATGTTTCCTAAAATCGGGCTGTGTAAACTATAGTGTAATATTTGCTGCAATTCCTGTGCTGTCCTAGTCAGCACCCCGACTAAAACAGTGTGGAGATTTCATGCAGGCTGCTTTTTTGATTGTCGTGGGAGAAGAGCAGGCTGAATTAATACAAAATCCGTCTAATATTTATTATCGTTCATGAAAATGTGACACCGCTGACTGCAGCACAGGTTGGCCAGTCAACCTGTGCTTAGTCTAAATTAACAGAGAAGACAAAGGCTGTAAGAATAGTAAGTGAGAACATGCCTGGATTGTGAGCTGCTGTATTATCAACAACGAAGAACACATCCCATTTTTCAGCAGACCCAAGCAGTCCTTCTGGGGAAAAAAAAAAAGCAGCACTGGACAAAGTTTGCCTTAAGTATCTCTTCTGTATTTTGAAACTATTTAATACAAAGACATACGTAGACACACATTTACATACACCTTTAGAGTAGTATTCAGATCTGTAACAGGTTGCTACAAAAAGAGCAAATGTTCTTCAGGTTTACAGAGGAGACTTGCAGAAAATTACATTTAAATCAGGTGGTAGGGAAACAGTTTGTCATTGCAGGGAGAATTAAGCATGGGAATATGCTGTGCAAGAAGAATCCCCCCAAATGCATGGGTTTTAGTAACAAAGGCCGGCAGCAGGTGAGGGTACTTTGACCATGCAGCTCATCCGCAGCTGGAGCTGTCGCAGCAGATGCTGTAGTTTTATTAGACAGACGCTACTGGACAAAAAAATTGCCAGGGCAAGTCTGGCTGTGTGTAAGCAAAGGGTCTATAACTGGGCAGAAATCAGAATGGTAGCAAGAAGACTTCTCAGTCTTGAGTTAAAACGAGAAATGAGCAAGCTCTGGGTTTTACCAGCTGGTCATGGTTCCAAGCTGGGGAATGAGGAGCAAAAAGTCTGCCTTGGGTGCTTTGGGTGGCTCACCTACTAAATAACACTGAAGCCAATAAAAACCACCTGGAAGGTCCTGGTAAAGGAAGATGCTTGCCTGGAAGATCTGGGCTTGGTACAGCAACCACCAAGCAGAATTCTCTAGAGTACAATAATGCAGAAGATCATAAATGATCCCTTTGGGCTTAATGTCAAATGTGCATCAGATTGAGTAAGAGGAGCTTGTCCTTATCGTAAAACACTTTGTGCAAGAGTGGAGTAGATGAAACGGAACACGCATTTTCCCATGAGTTTCTTAACAAACTTTTATCAGGTTTATCAGTAGTCTGGTGTATACTGGCAGGTCGATATTCATTCTTTATTTATGATTGTTGGTCTGTTGTTTGCTCTGTAAGAACTGGGTCTGGGGTTTTGCACAGGATATAGGTCCTTAAAATTAAAAGGTATGTGTTTTTGAACTTCTTTATCTTGCAAGCATAGACAATGGGGTTCATGGCAGAATTGGCATGGGATAACAGGATTCCCAAGTATATCAAATAGGGGGGAATCTGACACTCAGGATAAAAATAGGAAACACAATTCATAATGCACAGAGGCAACCAGGATATTGCAAACAGGAAGAGAACAAGTGCTAGAGATTTGGCTGTCTTGAACTCCTGTCCGTAAAAAGTTCCCGCCCCTCTCACATTGGTTGTACCTTGATTTAGCTTTGTCCGGATGATGTAAAAAATTTCAACATACAGAGCACACATGATGAGCAGAGGGACAAGGGTCCATGTGAAGAAGCCAAAGTACACCATGTAATCCATGCTCATCACAGAGGTAAATTGGCACCTGAGAACGTCAGGGTTTCTTGGTCCCATCTTGTTCCATCCAAACATGGGGACTAATCCTACCAGCAGGGACACCAACCAGCACAAGCCCAGTGCCCACCAAACTCTCTTCTCTGTAATGATTATTTTATATCTGTTGGGGAAGAAAACCCAGGTCACGTTAAACAGAAGCGTTTAAAATAGTTAAAGATGGTTTCAAGAACTCACGTGTTCAAATACTACAGGTTCATTGTCATAAAATGGAGCATTAACTTTTTTTTGAGGGGGGAAGCCAAAGCTCGTTTTGAGGCAAGCCCTAACTCTTTGCAACAGTTACTTGCATAAGAACTATGCTCAACTTCCCCTCTTTATAACTGGATGTTTTCAGTTATTTCGTTTCTTGTTTCGTTATGATTTTAGTGCTCCTCTTGCTTTTCTTCTATTAGCAGTCTTATCTTACTTCTCAGCTTCCTTGGCTGTACCGTACTCTTTACATTTAGTTTATGCCATTTGCAGGACCAAGCTGTTCTTTCACTCTTCAGTTTTATAGTTCCTTTCACCATAAAAAATACGACTTTTCATGCTTGACGTTATGCTTTGCATTTCTAGCTTATGTAGTTTTCCATTCAAATATAAAAAGTGAATGACTTCTTAAGTTAGCCCTTAATAAGTCTGTTACTTCTTTTGTATTTTCAGCAAATGCTAAAAGGAATTTTATTTAAAAGACTAGCCTCAGAAACCCAAAGAAATCTGTAGTACTTTCAGTATCCTGCACAATTAACAAAACATCTGAAGAATTCAGCTGGTTGGCCACAGACTTGTCCTGTTGCCAAATTCTGACCAGCGATAATGCCGAGCTGTCAGCCCCGCATGAACACCCCTGGGGTCTGTCGGTGCTGCATTATTCACTATAGAGGGTGGTTCCTGCTCTAGAGCGTGGTTCCTGCTTGTCTCGGATGGGCTTTTAGGCACAGGTATTTTCTCCATGTGCAGGCAAGTTAGAAAAGGGCCAAGTTAAGGAGGGGAGAGAAGGTGGCACCCGTGGGGCAGAGGCTGGGCATGGGAGAGCTGGCAGGAGTGGGGCGAGCGGAGGGGCCCGTGGTGGTCCAGCGCTCACCTGGTTGGCAGCTTCACTCGCAGGTACCTGTCGATCGCGATGGCCAGGAGGGAGAGGATGGACGCGTTAGTGAAAACCACCATCAGGCAGCACATGAATAGGCAGGTGTAGGAGTGGACTCTGATGCCCAGACTCACCACAATGGCCAGCGGCATGACAAGGATCCCCACCGCGATATCAGCCAGAGCCAGGGAAACGATGAAGTACAGAGTCGTGTTCTGAAACGCCGAGTTCAGCTTCACCACCCAGATGACTAGGATGTTACCCAAAGTGGCAAACAAAGCAACCACGCACTCGATGCCGATGTAAATCCCATCCAGGCTGCTCAGCACCAGGCTGTCGTTTGGCATGGCGAGTCGCTGGAGATGTTCCCACCCTGGCTTGAGCTGCAGAAGGGAGCATGGGCATCAGTGGCTGTGTGCGGGACTCGTCCTCGGTGTCTGGGGCTCGGTTGTTTCAGCGACTCCCCGGCATGCAAACCTCTTCCAGTATTTCACGTCCTCGGCACTCAGGCAGCAAATCAGCTGTTGCCTTTCCACAGAGCTGCAAATACCTTAGCATCCAAGAAACGTTCCCCTCTCTGGATACATCTCCTGGAGCTCGTAGCATCCCTTCAGCAGCCCAGCATCAGTAAAGTACTTGGGATAACTATATTGAAGGAAAAAAAGAAAGGAAAAGTTTCCACAAGCGTGCTTACCAGCAACCTATAAACAAATAAGTTAACTGCTTCCTCTTCCAAGCCACAGTCTTAGAAGTGGGAGAACTGTAACCAGAGTTGGCTGTGCAAAGCTGCCACTTATCAATCTAGATAATCGTTCTGCAGTCACTATAGGAAATGAGGCAGTTCAGGGCACGTTAGGAGGGTGTTTTGTTAAATTCCAATGATCAATTTAATTCAGGGTATACCATCAAACTTAAGGCCCCGAGATGGCCGGGAAATGCTCTTTAATTGGACCTTTCTCAGCCTGAGAAGAACACTGTCATAATGCAGGTGAAGTTTTCGGTGAGAGCCCTCATTTCTGCTCGAAATCAGTACGACGACCAACGAAGTCATGTTCGGAGTGGCATGCTTTCCTATGCTTTGTTTATGGAAGACGGAGAAACTGAGGAAAGGTGTGGGAAGTGATGGGAAGTAGCAGGGAGAGGGTGCGAAAGCTGTGATGTGTTTGCTGCGGGCGAGCCCGGCGGTGCGTGGTGCCTTGCTCCTCGACGTGGGTCTGCAGTGAAGGAGCTGCTCCCGTTCTAGAAGGAACCGAGGAGAGATGCAAGCCTGTGAGCTCGGGCCAGCTGCGGGTCGCAGGGTAACCTGGCTCCTGGGCAGCCAGAAACGCACGCTCTCCGGGAATGAGCAAAGAGCAAGCAAACGATTAGGCGATGGGACCGTATTAGCGTAATGAAGCCTTAAACGAACACGGGTAGTATTCGCTTTCCCGGACACGGAGTCCTCCATCTCTTCCACCCAACTTTCTGGCAAAACTGAGGATGGGGAAGTGAAATCATCCCTGGGAGGAGACAGAGACAGAAATAAATGAGACTTCTTTATTCTCTGCTGTCAAAGAGTTTGACAAATTCCACTTCCTTGAAATGGGTGTAAGCGCTTCTTGCTCCCTGACTGGAGGGCGTTTGGGTAGAATTACTGCTGGGACAAGGGTGAGCTGATCATAGACAGGCGCAGTCTGCCACTGGGCTTGGCTGTGCTGGTGTGTGATTGAATCTGACACAGGATACCTGTGCGTGCAGGAGCTGAATGCTGGGAGAGGCACGTGAAGGTCCCAGCCGGGATTTAGGCTAGGCTTTTGTAAGCTGAATGAGTTACTTTTCTGGGAAGTACCTGGGAAGGAGTGGGCAGCCGGCGCTTTGCAGCCTTGAGCAGAGATGGGAAATGTCTGTGTCCTCCCGGCTGCCGGTTGCACTTGGGTCAGCGCGCTCCCCGCTTCCTGCGCTCGCTGTGCATCTCCTCTCTCGACCGCAGCTGCCAGCTTCCTTTTTCTGTCGCCTCCTCCTGCGGCTGCCGCCAGATGCCTCTCGTAGAGACGGCCGCTGAGAGGAGCTACAGGGGCTTTCCTGGGGCCCCCCCTCCTCCGCTGCCCTGCGCCCGCTGCAAACGCAGCTCCTGGGAACAAGAGCTTGGTGCCGCATGGGACCTCGGGGGAGCCGCTTGTGTAACGGGGTCGAAAGAAAACACTTCTCCCTCCATTTGCCTTTTGCTCACCCAAAATCCAGCTGAGTGCCTTCACGTTTGCCCTTCCCACCCCTTCGTTGTGGCAGGGGAAGGGACGAGATCACTCCAGGTCCCTTGGCCCTCTTTGATGCTACTCCTACGCTGCACGCAGTATAGCCTGAGCCAGCTCTAAAGCAGCTCAGAGCCGTCTCGCCGCAGTGCCGTAGAGCTGTGC